CTGCGTGCATGATACATATGGTTCTTTGCAAGCTGTTGTGCGCTTAAATTATCGCTGTTAATACAAATAGGACTTTCTTCAGGATAACATCCGATTTCTGTCAATAGTTGTTTCAAGAACACCGCTTCTTTTGCAGCTGCAGCCAATGCCATGTATTCGGCCTCTGTGCTACTTAGCGCCACCGTAACTTGCTTGCGAGATTCCCAAGAAAAAGCAGCACCAGCCATGAAGAACATATATCCGGTAAAGGACTTGCGATCGATTACGTTGCCTCCCCAGTCGGCATCAGTGTAGCCCACGACTGATTTGCCACATCTATAGTAGTGAAGCTTCATGTTCTTTGTATTGGATAAGTAGCGTAGAACGTGCTTTGCCCCTGCCTCATGTTCAGCTCTCGGGTCCTTGTTCATTTGTGAGAGCTTGCAGACGGAGTGTAATATATCTGGACGTGTAGATATAGCCAAATACATCAAACTCCCAATAAGAGCCTGATACTCGGTAGCGTTAACTGTTTTCGCTTCATCTGAAGGCTTCTTGATTTGGAATCCAGCATCTAATGGAGTAGCAACTGACCTACAGTTTTGCATTCCATATTGTTGTAGTAGCTCTTCGATGTACCTTGTTTGACATACAAACAAGTCTCCAGTGTCATCATTTCGCTCGACTTCAAAACCTAGAAAATTGCTAACTGGACCTTTGTCTACTGATTTGAATTGATTTCCTATATACTGCTTTATAGAAATTAGATCCTCTCTGCGTTGGCTAGCTATTAAGATGTCATCTACATAAACCGCTATGATATTAATGTTATCATTTATCATTTTTTTATAAAGGCATGGCTCACTACTACATGGAACAAAACCATACTCTTGCAAAACACTGTCAAGCTTCGCATTCCATTCCCGACCTGCCTGTTTTAAGCCGTAAATTGCTTTGTTTAATTTTAATACTCGATTTGGCTGCTTCTTGCTAATAAACATTTCGGGCTGTTTCATGTAAATTTCTTCATTTAGTTCGCCATTTAAGTATGCTGTGCATACGTCCATTTGGTGTAAGTGTAGCTTAAGTTCAGCTGCTAATGCAAAAACCATCCGTATGGTTGCATAACGAACTACAGGCGAATATGTATCGACGTAATTTATACCATATTGCTGACTACAACCTTTAGCAACAAGCCTAGCTTTAAATCGTTCAATACTGCCATCATTTGCTTTCTTAAGTGTGAAAACCCACTTATTACCAATTGCCCTTATACCTGGTGGTAGATCAACTAATGTCCATGTATTATTTGCTATCAACGAGTCAAACTCAACTTTCATAGCTTCTCTCCAATTTGTAGCTTGTGCAGATGTCATTGCTTCATCCAGGGTGATAGGTACATTTACCTCTTCTGAATCCTGCAATATATTAATTCTGTGTTTCTGCTTACTAGGTCTGCCTGGTGCACCTGTACGTACTATACGTGGACGGCCTGGTCCATAAATAGGAATATTCTCACCATCACTGCCTGATTCAGAGCTATTGCTACTATAATTCTCACTAGCATCCTCGTAGTCTGTTTGTGGTGACTCGGGACGACTAATGCCTTCACCTTGTTCTATTACGTTTTGATCGGCACTTCCTATTTTTTCCTTATACATGAAATCAGAATAATCCACAAAATTAGAATGACCCACATCCTTGATTTGCTGTTTCACATTGTTTTGTCTGACTCCTTTTATTTTACAACTTTGTTCTACATCTTTTCGCACCAACTCAAAAAAACCTTTGCTGTCATTTGTTTCCATAAACAAGTTTTCATCAAATCTCACATCCCGTTTTATAATTACAATGCGCTTTATTGGATCATAAAGCCTATATCCCTTTACTTGATCACTGTAACCAACGAATATAAACTCCTTTCCTTTCGGTTTGAATTTACTTTTCTGAGTTTTATCGAGTCCAACAGCAAGACAACCAAATACTTTAAAGTGTTTCACACTTGGCTTTCGTTCGAACCACACTTCATAAGGAGTTGCATTTTCTAAAGCCCTTGTCGACGAACGGTTTCTAATATAAGCGGCACACGCACAAGCTTCAGCCCAAAATTGCTCTCCTAGTCCTGCATGGACTAACATCGAACGCGCCATTTCAACAATTGTACGGTTAAAGCGTTCTGCGACGCCGTTTTGTTGCGGAGTATACGGTACTGTCAATTGACGTTTTATGCCTTGATTCTGCAAATAATTATCAAAGTTTTTATTAATGTATTCACCCCCGTTATCACTTCTGATTGTTTTTATTTTTTGACCCGTTTCTCGCTCAACACATGATTGATAGTTTTTAAAGTGTTCAAACACCTCGCTTTTATTAGCCATGAAATAAACTTTTGCATATCGAGACTTGTCGTCTATAAATGTCAAAAAATAACGTGATCCTCCTATAGAATTCACATTAAACGGACCGCAAACATCAGAATGTATTGTTTCTAGCAAGTTTGTTGCACGGTACTTTGATGGCTCGAATGGTTGCACACATATTTTGCTTTTAATACACGAAACGCACGTAATGTTTGTTGTTGGCTGTATTTTGTCTATGCCATTCACCAATTGATCAGCTGCTAATTTATAAAGACTGTTTAAATTCATGTGACCGAATCTGTTATGCCACTTAATATTGTTTCCGACACACGAAATATTAACTGATTCACATTTGTTATGAAAATAATATAAGTCATTTACATTATAAGCGACAGCAATCACTAAATTTTCATTTGCGATTCTAATTACAGCTTTATCGTTTTTAAAATTGATTTGCAATCCATTTTTCGTACCCTTTGTAACTGAGAAAAAATTTGTTTGTAGTTCTGGGACATACAAAACGTTTTTTAACATAAATTCACTTTCGTTTGTTTTTATGCGAACGACACCGATGCCCATTGCATTAAGTGATCCATTTCCCGCTACTAGCACTCTCTGTTTTAGTTCAGTGTACTCAAGAAATAACGCGCGATCATTACACATATGTGACGTAGCACCACTGTCCACACACCAACCGTTGTTATTGCGACTTATTTTATTTTCATCAGAGTACAAGGCCATGTTTGGAGATACACACACAAACGATTTTTCACCAGTTTCTTTGCCCTGATGTTTCTCACCACTTTGTTGTTTTTTAGCATTTCTACATACCGCGGCGAAATGGCCTCTCTTGCCGCAAACGAAGCACACTCCGTTATTTCGCCGTTGTTGATCGCCTTTTCCTTTTGCATTTTTGTTGCTATGCGCTATGTATGCATGTTGTCCGCTATTATTTGCGTTTACTTTTTGCGATTGACTTTTACGTTCGGCTTCTTCCAATAACTTATTTCGCAATGTTGTGAAATTTGGAAGGCTGTCACGAATTTCCATTGCTATTACGAAATTTTCAAATGATTGAGGCAAACTCGATAATAGAATTATTACAATAATTTCATCACTCAGGGTGATACCCACTTCACTCAGTTTGTCTATAATACAAGTAAAATCATTTAAATATTCAACAACATTCATTTCTTCCGACAAACGCAAATTTAAAAGACTTTTATACAGTGTTACTTTACGAGCTGGCCCTCTAGCTTCGTAAATATCTTTTAATTTTTTCCACGCTTCTGCTGACGTGCAACAATATTTTATGTAATTTAACTGCGTTGGTTTCACTGACAAAATTATGGATGCTAAAGCTTTCTCGTCTGCTTTAACCCAATTTTCGTATTCATGTTCTGGTTTAGGTATTTCGCCATTTGCAATTCGCCATGCATCAGAATGAATAAGAACGCCACGCATTTGGACACACCAAATATCATAATTTTTATCGTCCAACTTTTCTATTGAGAACATATTGCTCGCCATTTTTACGCCGTTTAAGAATTTTGAACACCTTTTATTAAATTCTTTTTAGTTTTTACTTTTTACTTAACTTCACCAAAGACACCATATGCGCACTTATACAAGAAGTGCTGTACTTTTAAATAAAAGCCGGACACACCGTTTTTTGTCTTTTAGTAATATTGTGTACTTTTGATCACACTAGCATTGATCTGGGCCCATAACCTTTGTTGGGTTTAAATTGAAAGTACACGATATAGAGGATATTATAAGTATATGTGTTTATTGAATGGCGGCAGCTTATGAACTGAACTACATTGTATTGTTGTACATACTCATTGCATGACAGAGTTACCAGAAAGATAATTGAATGAATATGTTAACGTTTGTGTTGCCATATAAAATATACGTTATTTTCAACACTTAGCATTCTACTCGTCTTCAGGGAGTAAAACAAAATTAATTTTGTGCCTCAACCTAACCGTAAATTTAACTTAACCACTAAAAGACCATAAATATAAAAAAATGCAGTATAAAATGATTATTATCCCGCATTTTTATAAGACATTTATTAGATGATATCATGACTAAGTTTGACTCAATATTATGAGTAAGTAAGAAGTATTATTCACAGTCTAGAAATGTGATACATGAATACTTTATATTTAGCAATATTAGTCCATAAATTTAACTGTCTGAGTAAAATACTTTATATAGATTTAGAAATTATTGGATAAAAGTGAAAAAGTTCTTTGAGTCAGACAAAAGGTTGCATTAATTCAACGTATCTATAATTACTATAGTCTGAAGCGGTTAGATAAATTATTATTTTTATTATTGTTACTATAAATACTTATATTGGGACTATTTTCTTGAAAAACCGCAAATTATATTTCTTAATGGGCAAAATAGAAAATATGTACACTAGATATATAAGCACCTATATGAAATGAAAGTGGAATGAAATTCCACAAATACTTGTAAAATAATAAATCTTATGAAGTGTTATACTAAATAGGGATACAGAATTAAATGAGTAATGAGTTAATTTGAAATGCAATCACAGAAATGTATTTTGAAGCTCAGCATATATAAGGGGGTCTGCGCCTTTATCGGCGTAGTATTCAAACTGGTTGTGTCGAGTAATTGTAAGAAATGCATACTTTTTTTTATGCTCTGGTTCTCGTAGCCTGTGTGTGGGCAGAGCTTGATGATGAATTGCTCAACGCCGAGTGGAAGTCGTTTAAATTTGAGCATAAAAAGAGTTATTGGGACGAAACGGAGGAGCTTCGGCGCCTGAAAATCTTTCAGAAGAATAGGCTAATAATCGCAGAGCACAATGCACGCTGGGCTGCAGGGAAGGAGACCTACGAAATGGGTATCAACAAATTTTCGGATATGACGTCTGAGGAATTCAACCGCAATATCTTGGGATATATGAATGTTACTGATCCAGATGAAAATATTTTAGACACTATCACTTACATCCCTCCAACCCACTTAACTATACCAAACGAAATCGATTGGCGGAGATCAGGCGCTGTCACTCCAGTCAAATTTCAGGGTTACCATTGTGGATCCTGTTATGCTTTTTCGGTAACTGGAGCCCTAGAAGGTCAACATTTTCGAAAAACAGGTCAACTGGTTTCACTCTCTGAGCAGAACATAGTGGACTGTTCGCGTGGTTATGGCAATAGCGGGTGTCAATCCGGATATTCGGATCGAGCTTTTCAGTATATAAAAGACAACGGAGGAATCGATACTGAAGATTCGTACCCATATGAAGCTAAATTGCGAACATGCCGTTTCAGAAGAAATAGCGTTGGCGCAACTCTTTATAGTTATGTGCGTGTTTTGGACGGCAGTGAGATGTATTTAGCTTATGCTGTTGCCACTGTGGGTCCAGTGTCGGTGGGTGTTGATGCACATACAGGTCTACAGCACTACAAAGGTGGCATATTTTATAATCCATACTGCACTAACAATCGTAATCATGCAGTGCTTGCTGTTGGCTACGGATCGGATAGGTATTTTGGGGATTACTGGTTGATTAAGAACTCTTGGGGCCAACAATGGGGTGAAGAAGGATATTTTCGACTTGTTCGGAACAGAAATAATCATTGTGGCATCGGCTACGGGTGCTTTTATCCATTGGTTTAAGACATATATACTTGTATATATACATGTGTACTATTTTTTGTGCTATACAATTTTTTAAGCAAAACTGTTTTGTGACTTAATAGAAGAATCGGAAGAATGTGAATTTAGAATTTAATGTATTAACTTGATTTTGAAAGAAAAGTAAAATAACTATAAATTATTGAACATTTAATGCCATCTCTTATTTGATGTAAAAATTAAAATGTGTCGTGAAATTGGATATTTCCGTGAGCACAGTGAAGTTCAGTCTCATCTCGATGTGCTAGGATGCATGGCCCTAAAAATTAATTTTATTTTTATTTTTAGAACAGTTCTATCGATATTTACTTATTAAAAATATGTTTTTTTGTTTTGATTACCCCCTTTCTCAGCTAGAAATTTCGTTAATGTTGTCCGCAAATCCGTAGCAACAAAAATTTTTTTTGGGTATGTGGAATTTCGCTGTCTCGTTTTATCGGCTTCAATTGGATACGTCATCTTTTCAGAACACTTTCCCTAATTTTCAGGACAAAGCTTCAATGTAGTCCGATTTGCTTTAAATTGAGATATAGGGACAATTTTGTAAATCTTAGAAGAATGTAGTAGTTGTCATTTATTTAATAACAAGTTCTTCACGGCAACGTTAACTTCGCAATACTTGTATAGTACGCACAAAATATTACATCCAACTCACATCAAATTTATCCGAAAGTAAAGAAAAGTTTAATAAGAGCTTGTGCTGTTTTTAATGCGTGCATAAGTTAATCGCATAATTTACTTTTAATATCTTTTGAATGGACTTTAATTATGTAGCTACTTGTCGAAGCGAACGAATGTCCGTTCAATTCATTCGATGAGTTCCTTCCTGTAATTTATAAATTGTGCACTTCTGTGCAGCGATCCCATCGTTTATAATCTCCTCTTTTTATTTTCTGCCAACGTTTCAATATATTTGGATGTTGCAGTTCGGCTTTACTGCAACGTTGGTGGAATATACTCTTGTTGACCAACATTTTCGAGTTGATGATTAATAATAATATAACCATACCTATTTGGTTGCACTTGTATTTCTTTGTTATGAAGTCATTAATCAAGTTCTCTTTAGTCTGAAAATAAACAACTCAACTCTGTAGAAATATGAAGTCCATTTTTCTTAAATCATTCTAGCAATAAACTAAGTGTTCGTATCAGTAAGCAATTGTCCAATTAAACTACAAAGGCAGCTCTCAGTTCTCTTCTCGTTCATAGCAACGAGGGTTAATATGTATTTAATGCAGAGACCAGACGCTGTCGGCACTGTCGTTGACAATCAGCCACACGAAATACCTAAATCAAGTTAATCAGCATATTTAAATGCAGAAAACCATTTGCAAGTCCACTCACTACACACCCATGCGAGTACAGAGAACACACACAGACCATCGAAGGCTCACATGTCAGCACGTCAGAGCCAAAGTCATGTAATCAACCATCTGGAGTGTGTGTCATTTATGGCCAAAAAAAAAAAAAAAAAAAAAAAAATCAAGAATGTGAGCAGGAAAATCGCTTGTGGCTCAGAGTCAGACAGTTGGGCACAAATTGATGTCTGAATTGAACAAAAATGAAGAGAGGCAGTGACCAGGGCATCATATGATGGAGTATTTATGCAGGCGGAATAAGCGATACCAATTCAATTCAATTGTTATACAATATTCTCAGACATGTGATATGAGTAATGTAATTAATATTAATAGAGCACCCGACCGGTCGGGCTTGTTTCTAGGCGTTTGTAGGCCTGTCGCCACAATGGATAATTAAAATCGATCTGAATTTGTCATTAGTAAGAGCTACACACAAGTATATACTTGTATGTATGTACATATGTAGTATAATGCCTAATGACTGCTGAAAGGTTATTGCTAGTTGCCTTTCTATAATGCTAAACAGTAGATTATACATGTGCTCTGCCTATATAGACACCCTACATACTTATGTCATTTATTATTATTATATTTAGTTTCGTAAAGACTGCCACTAATTGCTTCGAGCTCAATAACAGCTGCTGTCTCTCCTAACATGTCAAATCGATAATGAAAAATTGTCAATCTAAGTTCTTTGCGAATTTTCAGCCCTGGCGGCAAATGGCGTTTGCCTCGTTGATTGGAAAAGTTAATTAAGCATGGAATATACAAACATTGGCAGTGCCTGCAAGGAAATTTCCATTGCTAAAATTTTATTATTTAGCAAGTGTAAAGAAGCATTGATGCGGGATGTGCTCATATGACGGATGTGTAATCGATTCTGTCACCCCGTCGTTCTAGGAACCTAAGCTAATGCATAATAATTATATTCATGAATGCAAATTGTGAAAAACTTTAAAGTTGCTTTCCTTCAGAAAATTCTTTGTAAATTATGGCTCTAAATTTTATATATTTGTAGCATTTTGGCACTAGTGTTCAGCATCCAAGAACTATTTGTCATAACAGTGGTAGTGGTTACAAGAATTTAGCATTCCATGTCGGACTGGAAAATAAATTTCCCCCACCGGGTTGGACATTTTCCTTTATCTCTTTTCGTTCCCTAATTATTTGAAATAGCTCTGAATTAGAATTTAGTTTTCTCCTCTAATTATACTCTGTACATGAAATGTACAAGAGTATATTAGGTTTGCGGGAGCTGAAAAATGTAACAGGCAGAAGGAGGCGTGGCAGACCCCACAAAGTATATATATTCTTGATCAGCATGACGAGACGAGTCGATCTAGCCCTGTCTGTCTGTCTGTCTGTCTGTCCGTCTGTCCGTCCGTATGAACACCTGGATCTCAGAGACTATAAGAGATAGAGACACCAAATTTTGCACAAAGATGCGTTATATGTGTATTCTATACGAGTTTGTTTTATTTTTTTGATTTTCCCCCCCACTTCCCCCCTATGGGGGTTTTCCCGATTTTCCATTCGTATAATCGCCTATATCTCGGAGACTATAAGACCTAGGAACACCAAATTTTAGTCCCAGATGCCTTATGTGAATACGCAGAAAATGTATATTTTGGAATTCCCCTCCCTCCCCCCTCTACCCCGCAAATCGTAACTCCCGTAATTCTTGGAATTTCGAACTAAAATTTTGGAAATACCCCCAGTTGGTTATTATGTGTCCGTATGCCAAATGATAGACCGATTTAACAAGAAGTTATAGCCATAAATATATTTGCTGATGCAGCGCTGCTGCAGCGCTGCTCAAGCGCTGCCCGCGGCTGTTGTTGATGTTGCTGTTTGGTTGACTGCGAAAATGCTTACACAGACACGAATTGATGCGCATAGGCATACATACACTCACACAGACGCAATTGCTATGTAAATGTGCAATTATACACCCTTTACGTGAGTTCGAATACCGAGAGAGGTAAAATCGATCAAATTTTTTTTTTTTATTTTCTTAATTTTTTTATTTTCTATAATTATTGCAAACATATGTACAGAGTATTTCAAAGTCAGGACACCCGACTTTAGCTTTTTTACTTGTTTCTATTTTCTGTTAGATCTATGACGTCTCTGATAACATTTGGCTGTAGATCGGGGCATAGCTGGCCGAATATGGCGAATAAAGTTCCTTCAAAGCGACGGAGGCGTTGATAGACCCATAATTGTATATATTATTGTAATTTGCATGAACAGCATATTTTGTTGATTTAATAATTCGCTTCATTTCATCGATTGCTGCAGAGCATAAAAGGCACTCCAAAATATTGGAATGTGTCACACTGACTGGAAATTAATCTGCCAGCTTTTCCCTTTGGGTCCAGGGCATAAAAAGGGTATATTAAGTTTGTGCAAAGTATGTAACAGGGAGTAGGAAGCATCTTCGACCCTGGCCTGAACTGGACTGGACAATATTTATTGAAATTAAAAATTTGTCAAAGGAAATGTTATGGCTTGCATTCATTCATAAATATCTTTTGAAGTGCACAAAATGTGAAATTCAAACTAAACATGCTGTTTTTGCTTTTGGTTTCTGCAGGGATATGGAATTCTTGTGGAAAAGGCTAGGAAAAAGATGCATGCACGAGCATGCATAAATTTGAAAAGAAGTATATATTGTATATTGTATATATATTATTATTTGATTAGATTTTGCTTAAGCTGTTTAATATCGGTTGTATTGTGTCACAGCTTGTGTTTGTCGAGATAAGCAAATAATTAAAAGTTCAATACGTTCGCTTGTTTAAACAACGCAAATATATAATGAAATGAAGCATTAATTTTAGGCACATACTTGTATGTGGAATTAACAAGGAATGGTAATTTTTATTTTACGTTCAGAACTTGAAAATTTGCCATATGACATTCACAAGACCGACAAAAAAACATAATTGTGCCGAAAATTGAAATGCCACAATCACTCAGGCATTTCCCAAGTACGTGCATGCACAGGGGCTTTAAGGAGCATGGAAACACACACTGCGGCACATCTGTACAACATTTACTCGTACATACACAAAATTACAAAATACTCTTACACATGTATCTTTGGTGCTCATGCTGCGTTCTTGAAAATAAAATAAAATTAATTTTTATGCAAAAATCTAATAAACTCAACATGCCTGTGCCGGCGACCACTTCTGGAGCCACCTAAGCCACTCTACGTCTACTCAAACCTGCCCCCACCCAGGTGAGCCATTCGGTTCCATTTTACATTGAAACAAAAAATTATGCGCGGCTGCGAGCTGTCGGGCAAGAGACTTGCTCAGGGCGCCGAGACTATTCCCTGCCCCAATCATCGGAATGTCAACCCAATTTTGTATTTACTTTGCCAATAGTAAGTGACACAAACATTTGACATCTTTTAAATTGAATTAGGCTAATGGTATTTCAAATGAATATACAAATAAAGTAATGTGAAATGAAAAATGTATTTTTCTAATTTATTTAATGTTGTATTGAAATAACTTCAACCGTTTTTCTATCCTTGGATTTCAGTAATCAACCATTTTTATTACTTGACATCTCACGTAAATATTTTGATAATACTTTACACAACCTTTT